GAAGTAGAACTTGAGAAGGAGAAAATAGTTAGTAATTTCTCCCAGTGCATCTATACATGCTGGGATCATAGTGGAACTCAGGGCTTGGGGGAAGGGCCCGAATGCCTGCGCACTTGCAGCCACTTCGGATGACTCCGGCTTGGCTCATGACTCCGGTCCTAGACACTCGCCCACATCCCGTAGCCATTCGCCCTCCTCCGGAGCTGGCTGCTTTCATGGAAATTACATTTTTGCATTGCCGTCGTCGTCGTAGTCGTTGTCGCTGCTGCTACTCAAGTAAATGCAAATATTTCTCATTTCTCTTACGAAAATTGTCAAATGTATTCAAAAATGTGCGCCGCATGCGAAATCTTTCTGAATATGTATGCGTCCGTCTCCATCCCGGTTCTTTATTTGGATTCCAATGCAAATCGGAGTTGCAGGGATTTTAGCTCTTAAAATTACATGGCCAAATCATATGAAATTGGCTTTAGTTACATGAATGCATGCGACTTTTCGATGGCATTCGTATTTTGGTACAAACTTGGCCATCAAATTATATTTGTGTGTATTTTTCGGTGGATTATAAGCCTTTCTGCATTTCATTAATTAATTTTGGTTTTCACTTCTGCATTTTAAAATCAAAATTGTGGTTTCTGATTTCTAGCCTTACCATATAACACTTTTAATTAAAACTGCAATTAAACTAATTGCCAGTAGACCAGAACCGCAATCAAATTTAAATCAATTAAAAATTATAAACATAGGAAAATAGAACAATATTTGGTTTTATTTTTATAAAGGTAGATAGCTTCAGGATAACAAAATACATTAGAAAAATTAACATAATTAAAATGTTGGGCCCACCTTTCGGATACTTAATCTTCGTTTGGAAAAGTTTCTACTTTGAGTTACGACTTAGGAGTTCATTTAATGATTAAATTTAACGTCTTTTGCTTACCCTTTTTCGCCGGCTTTAAACTTTTTAAAATCTCATGCTAAGAGGGTTTTCCTGTTCATCTCTGCATAATTACAGTCATTAAAATTTTAAATCGACTTTCGTGGAATTTTTATCATAAGCCTTTTTCAAAAACCTTTCAATCTGCGGCCTTCGCTCATTTTATATGAGCTTAGCTTTAAAATTGCTGCGATTAATTTTCAACCCAATTTCTGATTATTTCCACACCATTACGTTTCCTAATTGATTTTCCATTCGTTTTCCAGCATGTCATTGCAACAAAGGAGCGCTTGATAAAAATATCCACAGGCTCAGATACATGATGCATAATTTGCGGATATTTTCATTCAGTTTGTTATTCATTTTCCGCGAAACATAAACAGACATGAATCCAGCATAATGGCAACTTTTCCAGCTGTTTAAAAATGAATGCGAATGGCTATGTGATTAAATAAATTAATTAAGCGACCGACAAAGAGACAAAAGAGATACTTGATATCAAAACAGAGGCTGTGCAAGCTGGCGAGTGAATTAAAATTGTCATATCTTTAATGAGTGCGTTTAAGCTTCAAATTGGTCAGTGAGTATATCAGAATAGTTAGCAGGTAAATTCTTGAAAAATTCAATAATAAGATTTTTTCAATCTCATCTCCATTTGGACCAAAAATACGTAACCCCATAAATTTATTGCTTTGGTCAGACTGAAAAGATACCGAGCTGTATGAGAAATGAAATGAAATTTGCACTTGTTTTGCAGCAAAGACTTTGCCAAAACGCAAAATGAAAATGGTTTTTATTTATGATATTCGATTTTGCATTATTTATTACATACATTTTTGTTGTTCCAGCAATACTTGGGAAAGTGTCGAGCAGCAACCATAAAATATTTGCTCTCAGCATTTTTCAGCATCCTTGCCAACGGATTGATACACATTTTTCATCTTTTCGCACTACCAGTTGCAATAAATACAATTTGAAAACAAATTCTTATGGGATTTTTTCGTTACGCTAGTATAAATCTCAGCTCTGACTTGCTTGGCTGAATTTGTCTGTGAATTCAATTACTTAAAAAGTATGATTTGAAGGAAAAAATATTTATGCAAAGCGGTGACTTTGAATCTTATTTATTCGTTTTTTGCTTTATTATTTATATGGATATTCCTCTTTATTCATTTTCTTTTAATATCTAGATCACCTCTTATACGGAATCCAACGTACTAACTTACATTCCACACGACCACAAGGCTACAACATTTTGTAGCTTTTCATGGGTTGTAGCCTGGCCACTGCTATGTAGCTGCTGATTTGGTGGTGAGTTCCGAGTGGAGACTCTGTTAAAAGACTGTGGGATAACATTTTAACATTAAATATATAATTAACTCACAAAATATAAATAAAATGAAATGTCTTCATTGAGAGTCCATCCATCGCTGCTTTAGTTATACTTTTTGTCAAGTTTTTCAACATTATAAGTTTAAGAAACTGATGTTATGTATCATAAAAACTATATAGTCTTCATCTCCAACTTGCTTCCTGCCCATCTTGTTCCAAATTCAATTTAAAAAAATGTTTTCTCAGAGTTAAAGTGAGCCTGGCATATGGAAATGCCGTCCAATTATAAATGATATTCCAATGACAAGCCACAGAGTGTATTCAACGAGACATTCTTCGACTCCGTCTGTCAATCAATGTACATGAAAAAGAGACATTTTTATTTGGCCAATTCTAGACAGGAACCCCTCGGCCCGTTCCCCAAACGACTTTCCAATGGAGTTGTTGGGTTGTCCCTGGTGGATACAAGGACTCAACTTGAGCTCCGGCTAGGCCTCCTTCAGCCGTCACGGTCCTTCGATCAAATTGAATTGACATGTGTGACTCGGTTTGCATTTGGCCAGAGTCTGAGTCAGAATTTCGCAAATGTCCGGACTTTCTCCAGGCCCTGCCCCTGCCACTCCGCCGTGTCTCTGTCCAAAATGAGCAAATGCCGGAGTTTGAATGAGTCATGTAGCCGGAGCTTTAACTTGCCATGTGAACGAACTCCGGCCGCAATAAATTTCGAATGGAGCCGAATCGAATCTCTTGAAACTCGGAGCGGGAGCGTGGCTGCCTGCACTTAAGTTTATTTCCCTCTGCAGAGTCAACACAATCAAATCAAGTGAATGTGTGGGGCTCCCCGGAGATTGTATGTTCGATTGCAGTGCGTTTATTTGCGAAGACTCCGCTGCAAAAGTCAATTGACTCAATAAATTATTTTTAAGGCAATCAGAGGTACTTCTGCGACAAAAATGCAATCGAAAACTTTGGTATTTTATGTCTTTGGAGAATTTTGCGTCGACATATTCGAGAGTGAGTTACACATATATTTCCACTGACCCTCAAGTCTTTGAATTTTAGAAGTTTATCAACGAAATAAAGTAAATTGAAGTAAAGTTTGGAGAAATAAAAAGCAATTCCGTTTTTCGATTTCATTTAAATGATTTATTAAAAACCTCTCACAAGTTGCCTTACCTTACTGATTCCATTCTGAATTTAAGCCGACACATTTGGGTCTAAATTAAATGTTTTAAAATAACACAATTGTCGGCTAGCTTAGCAATAAATTTGCCTTTTGACCAATAAATCAAGGTAGTATCCAAAGACAATTAGTGAGAATATTAACTTTTCATTAATCCAGAAAGTGGACTTCAAGTTAAAGCATTCAACCTAAAGAACTCTCAATTAGTGCCAAACCAATGCTGGCCATATACATGTCATTTGTGGCTGCATTGAGCAATTTGAAATATTTTCAATTATATTTGGCTTGGGCGGCTTGTGGGCTGGGCTGTCCTGGCCATCGGCTGCTCACAAGTGAAATTAGCCAAACTATTGAGGTAAACAGGGGCCGAGCCGACAAGTCGTCTTGTTTGCGCTTAAAATTTAATTTCACGCACAATTGAGTTCATGCATAATTTGGGTCCGGGGTGATAAATTATTGCTATTATTGCACACGGCGGCGGGGGCTTAAGGAGGTGTTTCCGTGAAGCCACAAGCTGACCAGGCCACATTGCATTTCACAGGAGCGAAGGATCAAGGAGCTGGAGGAGCTGGTAGAGCTGGAGCAGGGACACGGGCAAAATAATGACCCTTCCCCAGCCAGGCTCGTTGGCTGCGTTCATTAATTCGCTGCCATAAAACCCAGACCAGGGGCATATTTTGCCTAGCCTGAATTTGCATACTTTTCGCACTCAGCGAAAAAACTTTACTATGAGATTAATAACAGTAAGAAAATGTTGTTCCTTGTTAATATTATAAAGTACTTACTGTTTTACTTTTTTAAGAACAAATTTACAGAAATTAGAAAGTTTTTTTGATTCCTAATCCTTTTTCCCCAGTGCACAGGGAGGCAATGAAGTAACATGAGGCACCTGTTACCGCGCCACAAGACTCGAGGCAGCCGGGCCGGGATCCTGGCCAAAACGCCTACAACACATGTCTGCTCATAATTAATGTGTAAATTGTAAAGCTGCGCTCGCCCACTAGGCCATTGGCTCCCATAGCCCCACATCCCCGTCTAGTCATTTCCTTCTCCATGGCCAACTATTCCATTGTGGCCATGTTGAACAGCGAGGGCAACCAGCGCGAGAACAACCGGGGTAGCTGGTACATCGGTGCTTTGGCTTTCGTGGGGTGTCCCTTCAGCCTAGTTAATGCAAAAACATCGACGTCAATAAACAAGCCATCCCCCAAAGCCACGCCCCCACCAAATGCGTTATGACGCCGAGCAAACTTAATTGCATTCATGTAGTCTGCGTTCACCTGCCGACCGGCGTCCAAAGGGAACCGCATCCGCTGCTAACAAAACCCTCTCTGATTCACATCCACTTATTTATGGGCTTTGATTGTTTGATTGGGCCAAACAATAGTTTGGGGTTCACTTGAGGGTACCTAAAAATAGCTTACCCATTAGACGATTGCCGTTGACGACTACAATGCCGTGCTTGCCGACTCATTTAATATTCATACTCGTCTTCACTCTATCAGAAAATCAATCACGTTTTTATGATGAGTTTTGATGTGAGCTAAATTTCAGACATTTACATAACATTTTATTGAAATGTAGCTGAGAAATGTATATTAATCATATAATCGTGAATATTTCTGTAGAAATTAGCAGTTTAAATTAACCAGAGGTCTTATTTCTATGTCATAATCAGCATGTTATGTCAGCAAATCAAGTAAGTTTTATCAACAAAGTTAGTTTTTACCTTTATACAGGTATTTATTTACTTACATCTTTACATCTTAACTTATTTATTATTAAGTCAACTCTCATCGTTGAGGATTTCATAGGTGCGAAAGGGTTGGTCATGATATAAATTACAGAACCTATTCAGAGTGAGAAGAGCGTCTATGGCACTGGGGAGTTCAAAAACTAAAAGTTGTTTTTGGCTTCTCACAACTTTAATGCTGAACACAAGTTCAGGGAGTTTCAGATCCTCTTTTAATGCTTTGTTTAATAGATTATGAGGATCTTCAAACTTATTATAGCTGATGAAAGTCAAGCGGGGATTTCCAAGGGAATCCAACTGAAAGTCTCTGCACTTATCCAAACTTTTGACATATTTTGATTTTGATATTTGCTCCCAAATGGGAATGCTCCGCTGCTCTTCTTTGGGAAACATAAAGTCGTTAACATACTTGGACCCTGGCTTTGAATCTGTGATTAACACCAATTTTAATTTATTCAGTAATTATAAAGATAGAATAGACTTACCAGCAAGACCAAGTAAGATTAATATAACAATGGAAAAAGTTGCCAATATTTGCAGCTCTCGCATTGCGGCAGCAACCTGTTTGCGATCCGAGATTCCAAATAGAACTAATGTTACTTAACTCTGTTTCGATTGCTCAAAGTATCAGTGAAGAGAGCTGTTTCAGCTTAACACGCTCTCTAGCATTAAGTCATTGCTTTATTCTCTGGAAAATTGACTAAGTGATTGCCAATTCTGATTTACTGTCAGCATTTACTCAGTTTTTATTCTTGTCGACATTCTGCTGATTACTTTTATTGTTATTTTATGATTAGCAGTGTAAACTGTAGTATTACGAATTCCGGTTACTTAATTTTCAACACCTTAACTAAGACTAAACTTTTATTCAAAACAATCCAACCAGCGTGATTCAGGCCTTCAGATGAGCACATCAGCTTTGGGTATGGAATCCTTATTATTTTTGGGAAAGGGGCAGCAATTGAATTGTCGTGTGCAGCAAAGGACCTTTGTGACATGAGCAGGAGGTCCTGGGCTTTTGTAGCCATCGACTTGAAACCCGGCCAGCCATTAGTGAGATTAAAACTATGACTATAGCCGAGGCCAAAAGAAAGGCTCACGAGGGCACAATGTCGCATCGCAGGCTTTGGATTTGGCTTTGTTTCAGCTTGAACAATGGGCGTATCTCTTGCAGTGACGCAGTGCGTACATTGTCCTTCGCAGGACAATTGCCGGGGGGAAGGGCTTGAAAAAAGGATCCAAAGGGGTACCGAGGGTGGGGATTGAAAAGATATACCGCTCAGTAATGCAAACATCCATAACAATCCAGTTGACACAAATACAGCCCATCCATGAAAACTATTCCTTCTAATCCCGAGCCATTGTTCACTTGGCAGCCATTCAGAATGCATTCCCATCGACTGGCTGTGCAATTTGTATAATGCCGATGCCGCATCGAATAAAGGCTCCTCGAACTATCGCAGCTATCTGACAGGACTGTAATTGACAGCTGATTATGCAATTCATTTGACGTGGACTCATTGGACTCGTCGAATCGTATTGGATTCCAGCAAACTGCAATTAATCATCCCCCCAGCCACGGACAGACAAATTAAAGCTCGGTCAGCCTGATTTCATGTTTGTTCAGATAATTAACCTATCGCTGGACATTAGTTAGTTAGTTAATAATAGAAAAATTAGAACGAATGAATGAAGATAAGCTAAAATGCATTTCTATTCATTATTTAAGCTAAAAATTTAACTTTTCACATTCAAAAAGTTCAAAGTCTTCCAAGACTAAACCTCAGGACTTGTAATTAAATTTTGTGCTGCTAACAGCTTGTATTTAACCACCGAAAAACTTATTTGAACTGCAGGCTCTGGGGAAACGCCTTTATTGTGGTGACTCAAAATGTTCTTTCAGTAAATATGAACAAGAACCATAACTACAGCTTAGGTCAGCTTAATAGTAGAATGTCTTTAAGCTGTAAATTGAATAAGTATGAGAGAAAATCTTAAAGAAGGTTTAAAACTAGGAAGAAAGTTTTGATTAAAAAAACAGGTCTTAAAGGTTATTTGTTTTCTGAGATGCTATCAGTTTGCATTTAGCTGTAAGCCAATCTTTTTCGTAAAATTTCTAGGCTCCCTTTGTTGTGGTTTTCTGCGGAGACTCCTTCTTACGTTTTTTACTTACAGGTTTTCACATTGATTTTGCGCATAGTCAACCTGGAAGATGCTTATGAGTTATGCCGGAACATTTCAAGTTTTGGATGGATGAAATACTTGGCAATTTGGCAGCCACTCGTGAGTATGTACAAAACAATCAAATGGCCCTCATATCTCAGCTCAAACCGTCAAACTCAGCTGGAAAGACTTCAATAAATTCTAGAGCAATAATGGTCAGGGAGTAGAGGAATTGGGGGGATTGGTTAACTTGAAGCTTCGTGCTGGGGAAAAACTGGAGCGCTGTGCATTGTTTGCTCGGCAATATGGTCACAGCAGTTATATTAAATTCCTACAAAGGCTTCTCCTTTGCCGTTTCTCCACAGCGCAGAAGAAAGGCAATAAAAATCATTTAACAAAGTCAAACAACAATAAAAATTAAACTTCGCCGTCAACACAAGAAAAGAACGAGGCAGCAGTCGAGCGTAAAAATGCGCCAAAGTACACAGAAGCGGGCCAAAATTAAATAATAAATATAAATATAGCGAATAGAATGCGAAATGGGAGATTTGAGCAGGCGAAACTTTTCGCAAATTAATTTTCAAATCTCTGCGCTCGGCTCATGTGTTTGTCGGTGTCATTGTGCCAGGGCGCAGACCCATTACCCAATACCCTGAACCCAGAATCCAGGACATGGCGATTTATTATGTCATGCCTCGTCAGGCTGGCAGGCGGGATGGGGCTTGGAATCGGAAGATGAGCATGAGCGGGGCATCATCATAAATCAATCCATTTGATGAGCAACACTCCGGGAACAGGGCAGGGTGAATTTAATTACACTTAAGCGGCAGGACGAGCCAGGCCAGGATCCATCCTGAATCGTCACACATCTGATTTGACCCCTTCCTTTCTTCCATATCCATTTCCCCTCTCCTTTTCCCTTTCTGGGCTGACAAATAATTCCCTTCGATCTAACCACTTCGATTCGATTTCTATGCCGGTTGCAATGCAATATTGCTAAGTGCTCCTCGGCCTTTCCGTGACTTGACAAAAGGTACAGAAACGTTTACCTTTGTCGTTAGTCGGATATTGGTTTTGATTTGAAAGGCCCTCGACCCGATGCCAGTGTATTTAGAATTTACAGAGACCCCTTTCTCTGTTGGTTTATGAAATGACTTTCCCGGCCCTCCCGTCGCTCAGTCCTGAATTAATTAATATTGGAAAACTATTGCAACAGTCGGAGAAGCAGATATAGAAAGAGGGGAATTTACTTTTCTTTTATGGCTGGTACAAGCTAACATTTTTCATTTATTAAAACTTATTTCCTTATTAAACACAAAAAAACTATAAATAAATCATGACTTCACTTCAGATATTGCTTTTTCATTCACTTCGCTGGCGTCTTCACATATTTGCAATCATTTCAGCGTAATCGCAGAGCCAATCAAGGAGCTGGAAACCCATTCAGCAGAAATGGAAATTACCAAGTCCAAGTCTCAGGAAAAGCCACATGAACTATGGTATTCCAGCTCTCTGCACCTGCAGATGAAACATGTAAAATGCAAACGAGTTTTTTATCACGCACACCCAACATTTTCGGGGGCGCACTCCGTGCAATTACATTTTTAGGGGAAGTGACTACTCTGCGAAAGGAAGCGTTTACCTTGGGGAAGGAGAGCAGGGAAGGGCCATGAGCATGATGACGACGTGGAAGCCCTAAGTTTGTCATGCGAAAATCATACAAACTTGGTTTTCGTGTGCTCGCAGAAGTAATTGAGGCGGAAATCCCTAATTGGCACCTTCAACTCAGCGACGACGACAAAAAGAAATCATCAGGACCATCGTCAGATGAAGGAGAAGCGAAAGATGGCAACTTGCATCGCAAAGAGGGCGTCAGGGGGGCGGCGCGACGGCAAAGCCAGCACACGTAGTCCCATGCAAATGGGAAAACTTTGCTCATCAGCGCACACAAATTGAGTGAAATTATCAGTTCAAGTGAAATTTACACTTGCTTGTTGTCGCCTGACAGCGGCACTAAGAAAAAGATACAAAATGTATTCAAAATCCTTTTTAAAGAATATTTATAAGATATATTTTTGATAAATTTCAAAAATTATTCAAGAGATAAAATTAAAGAAGAAAATTCCACTCCATTTCATTGATTTTTTACTTTTATTATTAAAACTGGAATGCCTTATGGTAGCCTTATTTCTTCGAGTGTATTGTGGTTTTCCCTACAAGATCCCACAACTCGAATATGCAAATGTAACTCTACACTTTCGCCCCGGAGCGTTCTAATTCCGCTTAGCTGCAAATCCAATTAAACATACAGCCAGAGCATTGCCAAAAAATAAAATAAATATTAGGAAACATGTGTGCGATACTTCGCACTTTTCGCCGGCATCTGGCAGCCGCGTTCCCAGGCAGATTAATGGCCGAGGAGTTGGGTGCCAAGAGCGGCGACATCTGCTACATAGTAGCCACATCCTGCCAAGATGCGAGCAGGAACCAAAAAAGCTCCCAAATGGCTGCACACATGGCCTTCGTAATTCAACCCACTTGATAGAGTCTGCTATGGCCACATTTTATGGCTCTTTAATGGATTAAATAATGCTAATGAGTAGCTTGGCATAAGACAGGGGAACGGCTGTATTTCAACTACTTAGCATATGAAATAGTTCTTAGAAGAAAGTTAATCATGGTTAGTTAATATTTACTTTAATTATTTTATTATTAATGAGATACAAAAATATGCCATAAAGATAACTACTTTAAATACAAATTGTTTGTGATAGCAGGATGAAAGAACCTTCTAGAGACCACATCAATCAGCAATTATATCGCATATTCCTAGGCTGCTACCTCCTGCCGCATTTTCCAGCCAGGCCACAAGCTGTGAAACATCCATGGTTCCGGGGATGGTAAAGGGCAAAATCAAAGTTCATTATTGCTGCAGTTGTGGCAAGAACATTCGGGGGAAGTCCCTCAACAACCCTACACATCATCTAGGTCTCTCCAGCCATCCGTCGTCTCCACATGGCGTATACGCAATATAAATACGTAATTGCATGAAACACCATGGAAAACTGGCAGAGCCATTGATCAACTGGCAGTGAGCTGAAAGATGAAAGCCGAAAACCGAAAGCATCGAGGCACAAAAGAGCAAAATGAAGGAAAGGTGAAGGAGCAGAAGGAGGAGCTGTTGGCCAGGACCAGAGAAGCTCATCAACTAAATGCAAAGTTCTTCCAGGCAGCCTGTAGAACAAGAATAATTGACGACGACACGACGCTGGATAATGAGGGGAATCCCCATTCAGTACACACACATACACACACACACACACGGACACACAGGATATGACAGGGAAATGCAGACGGCTCCTTGCAGCACTATAATCCTGCGGAAACACTTGAAAATGATGGATGAAAATTATCGTTTTCTGCAACGCATGCAAATGCGCAAAATTACTTTCACATGATTAATACTCCACCGGGGCAAAAGCTGCTCCAACTTGAACTCCATCACCATCATCATCGTCAGTCCATAATTAATCCAGCAAAAGGAGCACAAAAAAAGTTGAGAGAAAGAAAACAAGCAGACAATTGTTGAACCTCATTTGAAATTCATATTTTAAATATTCGTCAGTCAATTAGAGAGCCAAGGACTCTGACACCGAATTTGCATTCAGCCGTAAAATTATCAAATTAATATTCCGCCCCCAAGAATGGTGGAGCAGAATGATGCCCCCCATCCATCCAGCAATAACTGTCAAGTCAAGTCAAGAAGTTCCAAACGCCGCACATTTCGGCAAGTTGTCAAGACAGAGATACGAAAGTTCTACGGTCCAACAATGCCAATTTGATGGGAGAAATTTTAAAATATTTATACACACGCACAGAGAGCAGAGGTGTGCTGGGAAAGTTGCTGGCCAAATTTGTTAATTGGAAGCCAAAAGTTTATCTATGAAAATGCTAAGGATGCCCACTTGGTACGCCCAAAAATGTATAATAATGAAGCAAAAAATTAGATTAGTCTGTATCCCAACTGGAGTGATTAAACTTTCAATGGAGAAGTTTTTCGCCATTTTGGTAGTAGTTATTTTAAGTTTTAATATAACAATTCAAATTGGTTTTGCCAACGGATTATCATTTTGTATCTAAAATTCCACTCACTCAGCATCTTCTCTACTCCCGAATTCTGCAATGAAAAGGATCAGTATAGCAACATCTAGCTTAGCCTCTACGATTTACTCACCTTTCCATAATCATTTTAAGCGTTGTTTTTTTAAGGATCAGCAGCACAAAGGTTAATATACCAATGGAGCCATTAATGTACATAACTATTAGCATGACCCATTCCCAGAAAACATGGTAGTCCTGCATTCCATGGGGAATGATTTCCAGCATCCAAAACACGCCCATAATGATAAAGAGACGAAGAGCTTGTCCATATCTGGAATAAGAATAAGAATATATAAAGATTATAATATGTAAAATACTAAAAAAAAATATCTTACAGTTGCTTTTTGGAATTGTTCGTTCTTTCCCTCCGATCGTTGAAGTTGCTTAGTTTACTCCTCACTTTGCAAATGTAAATTACCGTTCGGCTGAATGTGATTAAATTAAAGGTGTGTATGATCAGGAAAGGTCCGTAATAGTATAACCAATTGGTAGAATTACCACCTGTAAATAATTGTTTATTAACCGACAATTACCTTCAATGATTACCCACCTTTCACCTCGCACTTATCAAAACCAACCAAAGGCAGCCAATTCCATTTACCAAGATCCCAGTCCCACATTTTATTTAACACAAATATTACTCCAGTGGGAATAGCAGCTATGCCCCAGACAAAGATGTTGTATGCCACAAAACTACTGTCTGGATTGTTCCAAACAATCAACTGGAAGAGCTTATAGCTGATGACCGACTCCCAGAGATTGAAAGCCATCTTGAAGTAGTACGAGCTGTAACCTAACGTATCTCTTATCATTAACTACCAAGATTAAAATATGTGTTACTTCCACTGACCTGCTAAAGAGCATATATTCTTTAACAAGCTGAAATCATCGAGAACCATGGTGAGATACATTAGGAATCCACAGAATATGCTGCAGACTAGGCACTTGCCTATCGCATTCAGGAGCTTCTTAACATAAAGATAAACGGCGATGGTAAGGAGAAAACATATCAGAGAAATCACCATGACTGGAAAACATAATCGAATTTGATATATTTATATATAAAGTATAGAATTATCCTTACGCTCCCGTAGTGCTGGAGGCCATCCCTTTGAGCATCGATGGTGTACTATCCAAATGGACTTTGAGAAGTTCGAATCAATCCGAGTTGGATAGAAGCAGTAGTTCGCCCTGTCCAGAAACTCCCTCGAAGAAGGGATATATATTCCTCCGTCCTGAAGATTTCATATTAAAAAGAAACCAAACACAAAATTAAATACAAACCCTAAACAATATGTACTGGTCATCTCTTAGATTGATCAGCTCGTCACAGGCCCAAAACCGCTCTCTTATAATAAACAGTTCTTTAAGATGATACGGCGTTGTCAACTTAAGATCCGCGGACCGCACATATAGAAAGGGATCGGCCTTGGCAATCTCCTCCTTCAGGCCATCGTCGCACTCTCCGTTGGCCAACAAGTTCTTTCTGAGGCAGCAAAACCGGACGCAGGGCCATTGGTTGCAAACACAGGCTCTTAAATGGGGCTTCACCGATCTGTTAAAGCTCCGCGGCCCCAAAATGTAGCTATATTCCCCAGTTAGGGCTGCAGAAATATTCATACCATCATAATCATAAAAATCGTTTTGTTTTCTTTCAGATTGTGATATATCGATCGTATCGAAGTATTTGCAATTGGGAATGTCTGCCTTTGAATTCACGATATTTAGAATGAGAACTAAACCAAAAAATTCCAACTGCATTTTGGATACAAGAACGTCCGACTTCGAGAGCTTAACTGGAGTGGAGCTCCACAGAGTAGGTTTTCAGATTAAATACTTTCGCCCCAAGAACTATACAATTTTTGAAACTGACCTTATGTTGCCGAAAACTCGTAATCATAAGCATCGTCTTCCTTGGGGAGCTTTTAAACAGGGTAATAATTACGAAAAATAAAATTGTTAAATGTATTTCCTTTGGCTAGAAACTAGTGGATTTCACATATCTTAATAAGAAATCAAGGAATAGTCATGTACAGATTATACAATATGAAATCCCACTGACCACGAAGAATTCCCTGCACGCCCATTTAACTTCGAAAACTATAAGAAATATTTTTGATTTATATGGACGATAAGGAAAGCAAATTAAGAGTCTAAAATTTCTATGGAATCAAAATTTTTTGGGTGCAACAGTTTTAAGCGAGGCAGCACAGCAATTTCAGAAACTTTATCTTTATTTCTATAATAATTTTTAATAAATAACAATTATCTATTACCAAATCGACAATAAGCCAGCAAGCGAGATAAGCGAGCATTAAAATATGATATCAACTAACTCGTAACATTTTTTATTGTCATTTTGAATTCAAAGGAAGCCAAGACGAGCTGGCAGGCAACAATACGAATTGTTATCAAATAGGACAGATGATGCAAAACTGGGAGGGGGAGTGGAGTCCATGCATATGTCCAATATTCTGGTCCATTTGGGACACTATAGAATTTTGAATGCTTAGTGTACCGGGCGACAAGCATCCTCGAACATTGAAATAAACCGATAAAAACGACAGATGAGCCCGGCATTTTTGCCCACAATGCATGCCAGGCAATCGAATGTGGCTGAGAAATAGCCTGGCAGCCCCCTTGGTGGGTGGGTGCTACACACACCATCTCATTCTTATAGCAACCAAAGGGATTCCCCATACATGCCCCACCCAGCCACATGCAAATCTTGAGCACTTGAGGCAAGGACCCAGATTGTCCCTTTTTCTACTCTTTTTGTTTGGGCACGTGGCCTGACCACTTGGCTGCTGCTACAACTTTTAGGTTTTTATTACCCTTTCAGGGTTAGGGCATTTTATATAACTTAGTATAACTAATAAAATAGATTATTATTTACATAAAAAATGCATATTTTTATATAAGTAAAAGTTGCGTTACTTTAGAATTTGTAGACATATCTTTCTTATGAAAGGGTATTTTACGATTCGGTCTGTTCAGTTTTTTTTCAAATTACTTATCTATATACGAATAAATTTGAATGCCGTCGACATTGCATTGTGGTAAGCACACATTTTGGGGTTTGTGGGTATAGTTATTTGGCACATTTCATTAAGTTGCCCAAAACATATTTGGTATATGGATTTAAGCTTATATTTTTATAAATTTCTATCAATACAAAAAAGGAAAGAAGCAGAAATAGTCAATTTTGAGATATATTTGTAGTTATTCAGTGTTTGGTAAAAATTGAAGGTGTTATTCAATAACTCGTTAGTTTATATAACTAAAATTTCTAAATGTTAAAAAGCTCGAGCTGAAAAAATCCGTTGGTAACCATTTTTAAATACAAACTTTGGCGGGCAGCAAAAGCTCACAACTAAGTGAAGTGGCAACATTAAATCTAAAATAAGCACAACACAAAAATGAAGTACTAAATACATAAACAAACAGCTAACAATTCAAATTAGAGTGCATAAAAATCTTTTAAACAAAAACTATATACATATTTTCATTTTTTTCATATTTTTATTTTTGCCCAAGGACAAGGTAGCAACCCACCGAACCCTAAAACTAGCGATGGCCGATTTAAATGTTTTTAGAGCAATCACTATCCATCGTATTCCGCCAATGTGGCAGCCTCGCCATATCAGTAAAAATTCGCTGTGCAACACTGGCATATTGCAAAAATATTTTAGGTACTCGCGTCAACCAGAAAAACTCAAAAAGAAAGGCCTTAATGTGCGCGGAATAATCGCCTACCGAGTGGAACGCGATCTGAGGAACCCAGCACACATCCCCAAACACAATGGAGGCCCTAATTCCGGTCATAAACAAACTGCAAGATGTCTTCAACACTGTGGGGTCCGACTCGATACAACTGCCCCAAATTGTTGTTCTCGGCAGTCAGGTAAGCAAAATGCTAAAAACCCTCGGCACCCAAAAAAAAAATTGCTCACTCCCGAAAAAGGAGAGCCCCAAAAAAACCGGAATGTTACGCACATATCTTAATCCATAACTCTTGCGATTTTCAAGTACCCCGCAAAATTATATAACTAAATGCGTTTGCCGGCATTTTAGTTATGTTTTTAGTTAATATAAAATTATAAGAGACTTTACTGTATTCAGCTCATGCCTTTTGTTTATATAATAATTTTTGGCAATGTTTGCCGCTCCCATGGAAAATCAATACGTTGCTGTATTATACAAAAGAAAAAACAGCTGCCGATGTGACACATTCCATCACAAACACACTGCAAACAAACACATGTATATCTGAAATAGTTTTGTTTGTATGTTTCGATCGCAGCTTTCATTGCACTTTGATTCGCGCTCCGAAATTAATTCAGTATGACTAAACTCTCTCACATGTCATTGATACCAAGTACAGGAGAGCCTCTAGAACTTAAATCAACTATATTGTATGCTATCCTACATACTACTTCTATCCCAATCAGCATAAACCACAAATACCTTTTATTTGTTATTAGTCTATTAGTAAAAAGCTGATTTATATTGAATTAAGTTATCATTGGAGCTCTTTTTAACTCGCAAATTCTAAATGTAGAAAGTTTAATTCATAGAATTCTGACTGTTGCTAGATAACAATAGCTAATCTGTGGGTTTCCAAGTGTTTCCTTGTTTCAAAGGCATTGCGAGTTCTTCTTATCAGGTCATCGACGTTTATCAGTCGCTTTGTAACTCCAATTATTACGCTTTCTTCACACCTCTTTTTTTGTAGAGCTCCGGCAAGAGTTCTGTGATTGAGAGCGTGGTAGGACGATCCTTTCTCCCCCGAGGAACTGGAATTGTGACCCGTCGCCCATTGGTCCTACAGCTGATTTACAGCCCTCTCGATGATCGCGAGAATCGCTCGGCGGAAAACGGTGAGTTGTAATACCCAACAAAAAAAAACAGAATTATAATCTACAATCTCTCTAGGCACCTCCAATGCGGAGGAGTGGGGCCGCTTTCTGCACTCTAAGAAGTGCTTCACGGACTTTGACGATATTCGGAAGGAGATCGAGAATGAAACTGAGCGTGCAGCGGGCAGCAACAAAGGCATCTGCCCGGAGCCCATCAACCTGAAAATATTCTCCACCCACGTGGTTAACCTTACGCTGGTGGATCTACCCGGCATCACAAAGGTTCCGGTGGGCGATCAGCCAGAGGACATTGAGGCTCAGATAAAAGACTTAGTGCTCAAGTACATTGAGAACCCTAACTCCATAATTTTGGCTGTGACGGCCGCCAATACGGATATGGCCACAAGTGAGGCGCTGAAACTAGCCAAGGACGTGGATCCTGATGGCAGGCGGACCCTAGCCGTGGTCACCAAGCTGGATCTCATGGACGCCGGCACTGATGCCATCGACATTTTGTGCGGCCGCGTTATTCCCGTCAAGCTGGGCATCATCGGCGTGATGAATCGCTCTCAAAAGGACATCATGGACCAAAAGCACATCGATGAGCAGATGAAGGACGAGGCAGCTTTTTTACAGAGGAAGTACCCCACTCTGGCCACCCGAAATGGTACGCCGTACTTGGCCAAGACCCTCAACCGGCTCCTGATGCACCACATCCGCGACTGCCTACCTGATCTTAAGGTGAGTCTAGAATATAACCTGTTTTAAAGAATCTTGCTATTCCAGTTTTAAACTTCAAATTACTAAATTTTTCAGAAATGTTTAACGAAAACAATTTATAGTTTTTTTTTCTTAAGTAATGATACAAATTAGTTTATAAAAAATGTATATATCCTATGAAACTTGTCATGACGTTGGGCTTGGATGTAGAAATCTGTTATAAACGATCAGTATATTTTCTATGATAGCTCTTAATAAGATTATAACCATAAATAACAGAGTCTGATTAATTCCTGCTTTTCCCGTTTTTATAGACCCGCGTCAATATCATGGCCACGCAATTCCAATCGCTGCTAAACTCCTACGGCGAGGATGTTTCGGACAAGAGCCAGACTTTGCTCCAGATTATTACAAAGTTCGCCAGTGCCTACTGCTCCACTATTGAGGGTACGGCCCGTAACATCGAGACAACGGAGCTCTGCGGAGGTGCACGGATTTGCTACATTTTCCACGAAACCTTTGGTCGCACCTTGGATTCCATTCACCCGCTGGCGGGACTGAGCAAAATGGATATACTTACAGCTATTCGCAATGCGACGGGTCCACGTCCGGCTCTGTTTGTTCCGGAGGTTTCATTCGAGTTACTGGTAAAGCGACAGATCCGCCGACTAGAGGAACCCTCTCTGCGTTGCGTGGAACTCATTCACGAGGAGATGCAGAGGATTGTTCAGCACTGCGGCAACGAAGTACAACAGGAGATGTTGCGGTAGGTCGGCTAACGATTACAAATTAAGCCTATTAAACCTTATTGTTCCCACAGCTTCCCCAAACTCCACGAAAAGATTGTGGATGTTGTTACTCAGCTATTACGTCGAAGACTGCCGCACACCAACGTGATGGTAGAGAACATTGTAGCCATCGAGCTGGCCTACATCAACACCAAACATCCCGATTTCCACAAGGATGCCGCCCTGGTGCCCAGTCTGCTGAAAACCGACAGCGACCCATACTCACAGATGAATCTGGGACAGCGACGGGCCAACACACCCCGCAACCACATGTCGCCACAGGTTTCGGCCCACTCTGCAGCCTCACAGCAGCAACAGCAGCAGCAGAACAACCAACAGCCGCCATATAGTGAAGCGCATGAGCAGGTGCCAGCAGACATTATTTCCGTATATGAATACTATTTAACCTATTTTGTATTTGCTGTTAGAACCACGTTGGTGAAAACTCGACGCCTTCGATGGCAAGCACTTGGCTGTCAAACATTTTACCTCCGGCACCAACGCGTCCGGATAGCATTGAAAACTCGGCCAGCAATACGCCGGTGCACAATAACATTGTCAGCCCGGTGAAGCCAGTAAATTTGCTGCCCGATGTGCCGGCTAACCACAATCCACGTCGCCTGACTGACAAGGAGCAAAAGGATTGTGATGTCATTGGTAGGTTTTAAATATAAATAAAAATTTGAATGAACTAACTTTTGTCTTACATTTTCCAGAACGCCTGATCAAATCGTATTTTTACATTGTGCGCAAATCCATACAAGACTCGGTACCAAAGGCCATTATGCATTTTTTGGTTAACTACGTTAAGGATAACTTGCAGAGCGAACTGGTTACCCATCTTTATAAATCGGATAGAGCGGAAACTCTGCTGAATGAATCCGATCACATTGCAGTTCGCCGAAAAGAGGCAGCCGATATGTTAAAGGTGAGCTCTTCAAGTGACTAGATAGTTTGGGAATGTTATTAAAAAAATCCTATTTCAGGCATTGACGCGGGCAAATCACATCATCAGCGAAATACGGGAGACCCACATGTGGTAGGCTGGGTACCGATTGGAGCAACCCGTTTCGACTTAATAATCCCCACATATAAGCAACATAAAAACTATTTATTGAAGACGCGTTTGAAAAGAACGAATCCTTCTTTGTTAAATGTTTCCCCTACCGAGCACTGAAATATCATCAAATTGCATGCGACCCCTCAGTTCTGGGCCTTTCATTTTAGCGTACTCCTGCATTTCGACTCGCCTGGCATTTGTCTATCATCGAGCCTCGCCGCTTTATAAATTTATAAGAAGTTTTAGAAGCCGTGAATCGTTCGATTAGGTTACCAAAAGCACTTATTTCACATTGAATAGTCAAATAAAGCAGAAAAGGTTGATTCAAACAAAGTCAATGTGTTTTGTATGGCATTTGCAATAGCTTGAAGAATGATAAAATTTTAAACGGTAACGTCATCATGTAGCAATATAGCTTGAAATTCGATAAGATAAGCCAATATATTTGTCAATAGGTAAAATAGATTCGTTGGATTAACTATTTGAAAATGTGTCTCAATTTTTAGGTTTTGAGTTGGGGTGCTTCAAAGCATAGTTTTGATATGCATTTAAACCTTTTTGTTCCCGTTACCAAATAATATTAAAATCCGTTGTTTTGTTGAAATTCAAGTGAATCCCAATTGATTGAAATCACTGCCACTCACCTTTCGTAATAAAAACTTTAATACTTGGATACCAGTTTAAATCTAATTTGGAAAACATCATTTGTATTGCGGCAAAGAAACAGAAGAGGGGTTCAGCTGGGGCGTGGCATATCCCAAAGACGTGGATGTAGTGCTCCAGTGCTCCATTCCTGCGTTGATTAAATGCTCCACGGTGCTTGTGAATCTGTATTTGAAACAGGGAACAGTTAAGATGATGACTCTATGACCGCCTTTGGTTAACGGAATTCCATCTAGGCGCGATTTGTGTCGGACAAGACCCTAACAATGCATCCTACTCCTCCTTTGGCAAAGGCCTTCTCGTGCCACTGCAGCAGGTGCCCACTGGACCCCTCCGGAGGGGATTTCAAAGCCTCTGTATATGTACTTCATCAGCACGTCGATGAGGTCGTTCTGGTCCACGGTATCGATGGCCTGGTCCATTTGCGTCGACTTGATGGACAGTAGCACCCGCAGCGTAATATTCAGGGCGTGGTCCTGTGAATTCCCGCAGGGATTAGCAGCGTTAGCGGGTTATTGTAAATAAAACGAAGTACTCACCTTCACATTCTGGTTTTTGCAACGCAGTGGAGCATTTTGTAGGGCACTCAGAAGCGCCTCCACGGATTTCCCCTGCGTCAGCAGCGTTGTAATCTCACTCTCATCCGGCCCTACCGCAGCGCTATCTACTCCGTCGTCCTCCCGAAAGTTGTCCTCATTGTACTGGTCCACATCAATCTTGCGGAACGCGTTGCTGGACGTGTTTTTAGCCATGTTTTCGCTCGTTTCCTAACTCTTTTCTTCCCAAAAATATGAATCACAAAGCCGATTCCGGCAAACAGATGTCTGGCAGTGTGGCCAAAATATGAAACATACTAACTGCAGTGTATTTACAGATATACTAAAACACATTAATTAAATAAGAAATTCGTTTACTATTATAATAATATAATGAAATGTGAATTTGCCAGTTCCAATTTACCTAGACTTTAACGTTACCGTTACTGATTCGAAAGTTACTTTGTGATATAATTGGAAGTATCTCATTGTATACGGTCTGGTATTATTTCAGATTTTTAGTATCCGTTCGGTATTTTTATATCTGCAGCCACACTTCAATTTGACTTTGTTTTTGTTTCAAGTGAGTTCAAGAAAATCGAAATTATTTACATTTAATAACTTTTTGGATTTTCCTGGCAGCATGGCAAAGTTTTTGGGCATTAACCGGCTCACCAAGCTGTTCCAGATCGTCCGGGAAGCCGGAGGTCTGAAGCAAGCGTACCTGAAGCTATATAGGTGAGTCTCGATCTTATATAAGATTGCTCCAATCCTGAAAACAATTTAATATTTTGCAGGAACGATGAACTGAAGATCGGAACCCTTGTGGGAATCGACAAGTACGGCAACAAATACTTCGAGAACCCTTACTACTTCTATGGGCGTAATCGCTGGATCGAGTTTGCACCACATGTCAACATGGACTACGATGGATCCATGATTCCCGCCGAATGGTACGGCTGGATGCACTATAAGGTAGAGAGATGATTTATTTATTAGGTCATATGTGATGTTTAATGTCAATTATAATTATTTTTAAAGACCGACCTGCCTCCCATTCGCGATGGATGCCGCCCTAAACACAAGTGGATCGCGGACCACAGCGAGAATCTTTCCGGCACCAAGGGTAATTTTGTATTGTAGCTCATCTCCCCATCTCATTCGTCTATTACTTTTCAGAGGCTTACTACCCCTACACCACAACACCCAACAAGGTTGAGGCCTGGGATCCCAAGGCGAAGAAATAGAATAGCTAATTATTATTTTTAAAATTCAAGTGCATATGGCTGCGATTGAAAAGAATACTTAAATGTGTTAATAAATCCATTTTCGTTGACTTGACACGCGAAGAACGATTTGAGACAACTTATGTAATTTTCTTCATCTCCAAATAGTCATCCTTTATCTTATTATACCCCAAACTAAGAGATTCTTTTGTCTTTTTGTTTATTTAATCACAGCTAGATTATAATACAAGTCATACAGTTACTTTCAGCAGGGAATACAATTAATATTTACAATGGCTTTCTGCGCCTTTTTGGTGCGTCGTTGGGAAGTTGTTAGTTTTAAAAAAAAGCTGGATTATATCTAGCCAATCGTTACCCATCCTAATATTCCTCTTTAATAGCCACCTTTTGAGCCTTCTTGGCCCGTCGTTTATATTTCTTTGCTGTATCTGCGCACTTAGTGGTTATGGTGGCCCGGATCATCCTCTCCTTGCCTCCGGTTTTATTCCTCACACATACTACAATGTCGTCCACTTTACGCTGATCCAACTGAAGTTTCGGGGGTCTTTCCCGACCGTAAAAAGCAGGTGAGGGTTTTCCCGTCAGAGTGTGAGTGGCTAACTCATCACTGCTAAAGACCACGCAGAGCAGACATCTAGTGGCCACTGGGGCGTTGGTCCAGAAGACCTCTCCATACTGATGAGCCGTGATCTGAGTGCCGTTTGGCCCTAGAACATACACTGCACTACCGTCCTCTTTTTGCACACGCTGCGGATACTGAGTCAGAGTGTCTTTTTCGTCCTTTTCGGAAGCTGTATCTTGAAGATGCGAGTCTGAGGAGCTAGTGGACATGTGGCGTGGTCTTTTCGAAGGCGGTGCGGGGACATCTTCAGCATCGTTCTCGTATCGTTGATTCAGGGTCTTCAACATAGAAGTAAGTCTTCCAAAGAGCTGTTCGTAGTGATTCTGACTTTTCTGAACCTTAGCTACTTGTTGTTTGAATGATTCATCCGGGGGAGGTAGAGATTCAACTCTTGGTTCTACATTTTTTATGCCCCCGGATGCGGTGGCTATGGCGACCAGTTGAGCATTGATAATGCGACGTTTCGGTGGAGAGCTTCGATGCACTGGCACTGGCTTTACGGGGGCTTTTACTGGAGGGTTAGTCTTTAAGGGAGGCGGCATTTGGATCTGCAACTGACCCAGCGGCTTCATAGTCCTATGTCGTAGCATGGCCTGTTGGGAGGCCACCTCGTAGTTGATATAGTTTTCGATGTCCATCTCCTCCTGCTTCATTATTGGTCGCGAAAGCAGGCGGTAATAGTAGGGAACGAAGTTCGGTGCAAATTGACTCAGATAGTGGTGATACGGATGCGAATACTGGAAGCTCGGTAGGATTGCAGTCTGAGGATGAAAGTATTGCGGCTCCGTTCTTAGAACGACTGACATGCCAGGTCCCGGAGCCTCGCTATTTGTAAGGTTAGAGCCAGAGCCCAGATCATACGGACGAAATCCGGCAGCCATTGTTTTACGCGGATTTTAGCAACAGGTAATGAAAAAGGTTTATTTTTAACAAAAAGTGCAGCTGCGTCGGGTTTCCTTGGCTTATTTTGCGAATATTCGATGGGTAAATCTATTTCAGAATCGTGTTTTTATGGCTCGGATTAACGGTAACTATTCCTTGCGCCAGATGGCATCCTACCTGAAGGCGGCCATCAAGGCCACCAGATTGAGATAATTTACATGCGATACTAAAATTTTGAAACTATTCATTACAAAATTAAAAAATGTGAATGTCCTTTTTTATTAAATGTTCTGTATACATATATGTATATTAGAAATTGCAAAACATTTTTCTTCAATATTTACTTTTGATAATTATATAAACCCTGATCTTGTTCAATTATTGTGAGAGGTTTGGTATTATTACATTTCTAAAAAAATAATTTAAAATAATTTAAGTTCAAGGGCACGTACCATATATGTATTTTTTCTGCACCCACAAAGTGCATCACAGTAGTCGACCTACCTGACACTATTCCAGTAGACTTACCCTTGAACATTTTTCCTTTCTAAATCAGAATTAAGGGTGTGTTTCCGATTAGAGAGCATTTGAGCGATGCGTTATATTCCAAAAGGATCTTTTGTATTGGGAGGGTTTCCAACACATTCAAATTCAAATGGATTAAAGCCGTCGCAGTTCTGAAAACCGGTTATATACAAAACTCAACTGTTGTCTTTGGGTTCCAAGAATTAAAGAAAGAATTCCTTTACATTCTTTTGTTAGAAGACGTCTTGACAAAACAAAAACCATATACGACATAAAAACATTATTTTAAATTTAAAATAAATTAATAAAGTCAAACATATCTTTCTTATTTGAAACACAAAATAATAGTATGACTTGATCGCAAGTTTTTTGGATAAAATTTTATTAGGTTTAATATTAAAACCAGAAATTATATGATCTTGGGTAAGTAAATTCAAAGCATAATTCAAAAGCTCGTGAGTCCCAAGCGATAGTTACAATGTTGCCAAAACCTTGAACACGTCGACAACCCTGAAAATGTCATACAGCAACAACTCTTGTTCCCGCGCAAAACCCATGCAAAAAGTTGGAAGTAAAAGAGGACAGCTGGGCTAGTTGGGAAATAGTTTAGTGCTCTCTCCTGGAACAAGGAACCTGGAACCGAACAGGATATCGCCTACCTGAAAACCAGAGAGAGAAAGAGAGTGAGCGTGAGAGCAGCTCTCGCACACAGGCGATCTTTTCCCTGCACATGCATGCATTTCGGTTCTCTATGTGTGCGTGCAGGTAGCGTCGGTGTGATTGGAAACCATTGTTTTGCTTCCCGGGGAATTGGAGGAAGGAAAAGAAGCAAAGGAATCGGTGGAAAACCACCCCTGGAATGCAACCGCTTTTCGCATTCTGCCGCCAATTTTCATTTGACGCAGATCCTCTGAGGATTCAACATGGATAATGTGAGTAGCTCTAAAAATCCTTGACCAAATTTGTTTATAAGTTCGCTATTGCAGCAATATCAGCGTATAGTCAACGCCAGTCCTCGCGAGGATTCCCAGTTCCAAAGGAGCAGGCCGTTGTTCCTAAATGCCTGGTCACAGACTTCTAGCGAAGATTTCGAGCTGCTACGCACCATCTCCACGCCTGATCCCCAAGTGGAGACAGAAAACAGGGCGCTACGAGATAAGGTTCGCTATTTGGAAGCCAAACTGCAGCAGCACACGGACTTGCTCTCCCAAATTCATGCCACATCCGCCAGAATGCAGCAGGCATCGTCCCTGCTGGCTGATAATGGACCACCAACTCCTCCTACTGTTCAAAGTCATCAGATCCTCACTCCCCCAAGTTCGGTGATATGTGCTCCCGTTCAGAATCCCCAGATTCTGGACTACAAAATCATTTCAGCACCCGATGATGCGGATGCCATTGAAATACGCCTGGCAGCGGAGAGCTTAAACAGCCTGAGTACCTCGGCCGACTCGGATCGCCTGGAGATATGCCTTGGCGAGGAGAATCAGCAGCAGACTCATCATCAGCAGTACAGAATAAGCAGCGGCATTAAGAGGGAAGATGAAGAATCCTCCGGGACTCCTTTGCAGTTCATTAAACGCCGAAAGTTGCAGGAGATTCAGTTGTCCGAAGAAGCCCCTCGACAGAACATCAAACTGCCCCTCAAATCTCAAGTTAAAATCCGCAATGGCAGTCTCACCGATCTCAGCAAGAACCAGCAGCAAAACATGGACAACGTTATGGTCTCCATTGGACCAAATAACACATGTGTGCCAGCCAGTGTCTTCGAGAACATAAATTGGTCAGTTTCCTCGTTGGCCACCCGGAAATTGCTGGTATCCATCTTCGACAGAGAAACTTTAGCAACCCATTCGATGACAGGAAAACCATCGCCCGCCTTTAAGGATCAGGACAAGCCACTTAAGCGTATGCTCGATCCCCAGAAGATCCAGGACATCATCTTTGCGGTGACGCACAAGTGCAATGCCAGTGAAAAGGAGGTACGCAATGCCATCACCACCAAGTGCGCCGATGAGAACAAGATGATGAAGATCCAGAATGTCAAGCGACGCAGCAGTGGCATCAAACATGAAAAGGAAAACAGGATTTAGATGTTAGTAGTATTATTATTAGTGGTTAATTAAATATGTATTAGACTAAAACCAAATAAGGCGGAAATGGCTGCTTCAACGCTCACAGATTTATAAAAAAATCCATAGATATAGAACTTAAGACTACATTGAACATATGTACGTGCAGAATGTTTTTGAAGATCTCGAAGATGATTTTACCAATCCGAACCAAGAAAAATTGTTGTTTTATTTTTAAATTCTAAAATTCCAATTTGAATTAGAACGAACTTAAAACTCTGTTTTCGTGTTTGTAAGCTGTAAGTATTTAACTTAAATATATAATTGATTAAAATAATAAAATTGAAGCCAAAAATTATAAAATTTTTAAACCTAACGATATTTTAAAATATCGATAGCAATAGGAGTTGCCAGAGTTGTTTTAAAACAGCTGATGACGCTCTGCCGGTTTATTTTGGCGGCCTTGTTTACTACTTAGATTTAATGGGAAAACTTGAATTAAAAATGTTCTGAATGGAGTTCGACTTGGAAAACCTCGCAAACAGCTTTGTGCAACAATTAGTTGATCAAATCTTTGAGAACTATAAAAATCAAGTAGAGTCAAACAGCGCGACAAGAGGTGAATTGGGATATTAAATTGATGTAGTAAAGTGTTACAAGTGCATTATTTATTAAATTTTAGAAGATCGTGGGAAGTTTTTTTGCGATTTATCTTCTTTACTTGGAAGAGAACTGGTGTCCCGAGCCCTACACCTATTGGATGAACATAGCTTCACTTATTTCTACCTAAAAAACAATCCACATATTTACGCTGTGGAAATATCCAAAGGAACGGAGTATTTCCGGGTTATCCCGAAGGTCAACTATTGCAAGTGCGAGTTTTTCCAGTGCTACGTGCTGAAGTTGCCCAGAGGAGTCCTTTACCAGGACCTTCCTAGTGGACAAGCCGGCATATTAGAGGATTGGAGCGAGGAGAGCCGGGAATCTCTCACCTGTCACCACGTCCTGGCTTTGCGATTTCACCTACTTCTTAAACCTAAGGGTAGAAAAACGTCAGAGCAGGTTCTTAAAAGGGAGGAAATCAAGGAGTTGCAGAGGGAAATTTTCCGGGATTGAAATGGTTGATGTGACTCAATCGCCCTACGGGGACTATAAGTTCGTCGGTCGTGTGGATCACATAAAGACCTTTAATCAGGCCATCAAGTCTATCTGCTTTAATGATGTAAGAAATGGGTAAAGCTGTATATTCTAACCAAATCTTATACACACCCTTTGTATACTTCGTAGTACGGCATGCTTCAGGTGTCCGAAGACGGAATGCGCATTACGGTAGAGCAAGGAAAGTCCATTCAGGCCACTTTGTTCATGCCCCCAGGCGCCTTTAAAGAGTTCCACGTAGAGGAGTTCCAGTGCTTCGGCCTGAAGATGAATGTTCTCTCCGAGTGCTTGAACCTCTTTGGATCCGCCGATTGCAGTCTGAGGATGATGTACAGGGGTCACGGCGATCCACTGATGATCATCCTGTTTCCCTATGACGATGACGATGTGAGCACCGAATGCGCACTTAAAACTATGGACTGCGATGAGCCAATTGACTATGACATGAACTTAAAGGATCCCGATCTAAATGTTATTTTTGTACGCGGACCGAACCTTGCTAAGGTGTTCAACGAACTGGAAAAGTCGGCAGAGGAATTCGAGTTCGTCACATCGCCCCAACGACCGCACTTTAAGATCACCACCGTTGGAATCATGCAGGCTGTTTTCAGCGTCGAGGTGGCCAAGACCAGCCCTATGATGATGATGTTCAACTGTAAAAAGACAGTGGTTGCTCGCTACAAAAGCCAACAGATCAAAATTACCAATAAGGCAATGCAGTCTGCCACCAAGGTGGCCATAAAAACGAACTCCATTGGCCTATTGGAACTGCACATGGTAATGCAGGGCGAGGGCCATGATGAGATCTTTGTCCAGTTCTTTATTATTCCACTGCTTCATACTGATTAAGCTTTATCCCACGAAACCGTTTACGAAATATAGCATTTTAATGTTGTTGATATGTAGACTTTGTATATGGTTCTTAATGGTTCCATATCAAAAGATAAATATTGATTGCATTTTAGTGACTGTTAGCTATCAGTTGCAAATTACGATGATTTTTCAGCTGTCCCCTCATATTTGCTATTAGTTACAAATGCAAAGAAATAAAAGTACAAAAACTGAAAGCTGATGTAAATACAATCATGCAGTAGTCTAGCTGATAAGACATCTATAAATAAATGTATACAAATACCAGTGTCTATCCGATTCCGGGCTGCTATGCAGCCTGAGAGTCACATCTTCGACTTTTCACATTTTGATCAGTATTGGCCGAGAGCCAGGGGAGCCTGTAACAACACAGAGCGTGGAAATATGTATATCTTGGTGTCGTTGTCTCTGATACTTCTGCACTTGCTGCTGCTGCCCATCTATTTGTACCTCACCTGGCACCACAAGTACTGGCGCAAGCGCGGCTTGGTCACAGCTCGTCCTTTAACCCTGCTGGGCACATATCCAGGATTGCTAACCCGGAAGAGCAATCTAGTCCACGACGTCCAAAAGATTTATGAGTAGGTTTTGAAAATGATTTATAAACGTATTTATTTTCGTGAAATTTTCACAGCAAATACAAAGGTAAAACATCGAGCTGTGGGGGTTTTTGTGACCCGTCAGCCGCAGATCCTGGTTCTCGATCCGGAATTGGCACACGAAGTTCTGGTTGGTAATTTCCGCTGTTACAAGGACTCGCTTACCAGTTCGTATATCAGACATGCCAAATCGGACAAATACGCCCGCCTGAATCCATTCTGGGCATCCGGACAATCCTGGAGGCGTCTCCGCTCTGATGCCCAAGCAGGAATCTCAGGGAATCGCTTGAAGCAGGCCTATAACATCTGGGAGCAGGGTGGGAAAATGTTGACGGACTATATGGCCAAGCAAGTGATGCAGAAAAATAATATCCTAGAGACCAGAGATGTAAGTTATAATTGTTTTTTCAATACCAAAAATACTTTAATATTCCTTGGTAGCTCTGTTTTCGCTATACAGCCCATGTCATGGCCGACTTTATCTGGGGTATCGATGCAGGGACCTTGACTCGACCCATGGAGCAACCCAATCAGATGCAGCAGATGGCCAGCAAGTGGACCAGTTATGCCTTCTATATGCTTTCCATATTCATGGCTTCCATTGTGGCACCCTGTAGTCGACTGTTGCTGCGATTCCGATTCTATCCAAAGGAAACCGACGAGTTTTTCTCAAACCTAACGAAGGAGTCCATTGAGATGAGATTAAAGGGAGGTGGTGATGCCACTCGGACGGATTATCTTTCGCATTTACTCCAACTTCGGGATCAAAAACAGGCCACTCACGATGATCTGGTGGGTCATGCTCTGACTGTGATGCTCGATGGTTACGATACCACTGGCACGGCTCTACTCCATGCTTTATATTATGTAGGTAATACTCTGCAAACTTAAAGTTAAAAAATTAAGCCATATTTTTTCAGTTGGCGGAGAATCCCATCATCCAGCAGAAGCTGCGTACAGAAATCCTCTCCAGTGCGGAATCCGAAAAGAGTCTTGACTTCGACAAGCTGTTTTCCTTACCCTATTTGGAGCAAGTGGTGTATGGTTAGTTTATAATTGTTTATATACCAACTCGAATTTCTCGATATCTTTTTTTTATTCAAAATTTTTTAGAATCTCTCCGACTTAGCAGTTTAATACCGCAGTATACGAAAGTGTGTACGTCTCCCACGGTTATTCAGCTAAATGAATCTAAACAGCTTCATGTAGAAGCCGGCATGACGATCATGATTCCCAATTATCAGTTCCATCATGATAAGCAATACTTCCCAGATCCCGAAGCTTTCAAGCCCGAGCGTTTTGATAATGCTACTTACCAGGAATTAATGCGGAAGGGAATATTTCTTCCATTTAGCGATGGTCCCCGTATTTGCATGGGTTAGTTTCTATATTTTTTCTATGCATTTATTTTTATGTTTTCCTATTGATCATTTTATTAGGTGTTCCATTGGCTTTGCTGACCTTGAAATCAGCTCTAGTTCACATTCTCTGCGAATTTCAAGTGGTGCGTGGAAGGGAGCGCTTGATTCCGAAGGGAGATGCTGGGTTTGGAGTCGTTTTGCAGGGGAATGTTGATTTGGAGTATCGCCGATTTTTGAGATAGTGTTGTATTATTATCAGTAAGCTAATACATGCATAGGCGTTATTAACCATTATAGCAATTCTTGTTTTTTACCCAATTACTTTATAATTCCAAGAATATGATCAAAAAATATCCCTCTTGGTGGAAACATTTTTACTAACATTGTTTGCATAGAAATTGATACCAGTAAATATAGTCCTGTAATCAAATATATGATATTGATTTGATTAGGTTGTAAATACAACAAACTCTTATCAGTAAACTGCTGGTGATAATGCTATCAAAATCGTCATTCATGCTCAAAAAAACCTATCAAGTTGATTTAATAGGTGTGGTAGCTTTAATTATGATTAAAAGCTTTACCAAAGCAGACAAGCTGGCAGTTTTCAAGTGAACTTGGTTGGAATCAGGTCGATTTGTTGAGCAGTAGCCATGATGATATTAGTGGGTTTGTGCCTGACCTTCGTTCATGTGGTCTTTGTTGGGATTTACTTCTACCTAACCCGGTACCACAAATATTGGGACAAACGGGGAGTAGTCACCGCTCAACCGGTGTCCATTTTGGGCACATATCCTGGCCTTCTGCTTAATAAAACACGCAGTTTCATACTTGAAGTCCAGGATGTCTATGAGTGAGTCGTTATCAGCGATTGGGATCAATTTTATTATACTTTCTTCCAATAGTAAATACAAGAATGACCACAGAGCGGTAGGCACTTTCATCACGCGTCAGCCGCAACTTCTTATTTTGGATCCCGTCCTGGCCCATGAAATTTTGGTAGACAAGTTCAGCCATTTTCGCGACACCATAACCAGCAGTTTTGTGTCTCACAATTCGGATGACAAGTATGTGGAGAGGTCACCATTCTTCAGTGCTGGTGATAAGTGGAAACAAAGACGCACCGAAGGCGCCGGCGGCTTGACACCGAATCGGCTGAAACAGGCCTTCACCATTTGGGAAAAGAGTGGTCAGAAGCTGGTCGAGTATATAGAGAGAGCTATAAAGGAGAAGGGCGATATCATCGAAACCAAGGATGTAAGTACCTATCGTGTAAGTAATTTTAGCAAAACTAATAATAGTTTGCAGCTAGCCTATCGATTTACGGCAGCCACGATGGGGGACTTTATATGGAGCATCGATGCTGGTTCACTCAGCGGCAAGGTTGGTGAGATTGGAATCTTTCAGAAGACCTCCTCGGATTGGACCGTCCATGCTTTTAGTTCGATGATTCGGTTTAACAAAAGTCTGGTTGCACCTTTTGTGAGAAAGTTGTGTGGTATGCGATTTTTCACTAAGGAATCAGATAAGTTCTTCCTGAAATTGACCGAGGATATGGTGAATTTTCGGCAAGAAAATTTCGGAGAGGATCGGGAGGACTACCTATCCCATCTCATCCAACTGCAGAAAAGGGGAAATTCCATCCACGACTCTGTGGGTCATGCCCTAACCGTTTACTTGGATGGATACGAAACATCTGGAGCTCTTCTATACCACATGCTATATTCGGTGGGTAATTTCACAATATTTCACAAATAATCATATAATTAACACTATATCTTATCAGCTGAGCGAGAACCGTGAAGAGCAGGAAAAGTTGCGCTCGGAAATACTTGATGTCTTGCCCACCGAAGGCACTATCAGCTACGAGCAGCTCAATGCCCTGCCCTATCTGGATCAATGTTTCAATGGTAGGTAACGGGGGGGTCTACAAATCTATATATAAAACCTAAATGTTTCCAGAATCGCTGCGACTGACCACCCCAATTGGTTTCTTTATGCGGATCTGCACCAAGCCCATCCAAATTGATTTGGGGAATGAAAAAAAGGTAGACCTAGAGCCGGGCATCACGGTGTTGATTCCCGCCTATCAGTACCACCACGATGAAGACTTATATCCGGAGGCCAGTGGATTCCGGCCGGAGAGGTTTGAGAATGGAGCGGCGAGTTTGCTCAACAAACGTGGATGCTTTCTTCCCTTTGGTGATGGTCCTCGAATCTGCTTGGGTGAGTCCTTAATTAAGGTTCTAGATATCATAATAATTATAACGAACAACTCGGCTACACTATACAATATTATAATATATTTACTAATAAATCCTTTACTAACTTTAGGAATGCGTGTGGGACAACTAACTGTTAAGATGGCCATCTTCCACATTCTTTCTAATTATCAGGTGGAACAGACGAAAAAGGTGCCCATGGGCGCAGATACTGGCTTAGGAATTTTCCTCAATGGCGATGTCGAACTGAAATATACCAAATTGCAGAAGTAAAGAGGACACGTTTATTTCTGTAGTTCTTTTCTCGTTTTATATTTTTGGCCATATTGCATAAGAGCAGAGGGCAGATGTTGCTTTTGTATAAGGATTGCTGTTGGGTTTTCGCTTTTTATATTTTGGCGCAATAGTAATTTGTATACGAGTGTGTGTGCTGGTGAGCAAGTGGGATGGACTTTTGGGGGCAACCGCGGCGAAATTTAATTTAGCGCGAACCGACCGCAGACCAACTGACACTCCCCTTTTTACTTCTATGCAGCTTGAGTTGGAGATCATTCAGAAAAAATGTAAAAATCATAAAAATTTTTTATATTTTTATAAATCCCATGAAACTTATTTTGGTAATTTAAAAAAAAAATATGTGTGTAGACTTGATTGTTTTAGGTTTTTTTTTTATTAATAATTGATTAGGAAATCGTTTTTGGTTCTCCTTATTTAAAAATAATGATATTGTAAAGGTTAACTTGATTTTTTCTGAGTGCATTGCTGAGCCTTTACTCTATGCACTTTCATATTGAGCGACCACAAGCAGTGGACGGCGTCGAAGGACGAAGGACAGAGGACAACACCGATCCCCAGCCACAATGCCACCGCGTGTGCATGAGTATTGTGATGCAGCCCATTTTTTCCTTGCTGTTATTTACATCATTTTTTGCAGCTTTTTGTTTTGCAACAAGCCACAAAATTTCATTTGCGCTTGCAATATGGCGCATTTAAATTCGCTTTCCTTTTCCCGCCTGTCGAAGGGGAAAAATATTTGCCACAAAGGGAATATGAAATTTTATGTGGCCCCCATAAGTCGGCAACAAAACGTTTTATATATTAGGCCAAACAAATTGCGGATTGCAAGCCAAAATTAAGGCTTGCTTTCTGTCACCGCAAATATTTGGATTCAATTTGAGTTGGGATATATTTGCGTGTAGATTGGTAGACCAGGATCAAACAGTCGTAAAAAGTTAATGACTGGCGCAGTTAACTCGAAAACGAAATAAATAAGGAATTCCGAGGGCAATTGAAAGAAGATTTTCATTTCCTTTCGGCACTGAGAGAAAAGTTGTAGCTAAAAATATACAATAATTTTTATACTTGAAATTGCCATTAGTCTTGCAAATAAACTTAAGATATTAAAAATAATGTACTTAACTCTCTTCATCTTTTTAAAAATTATTTTTTTATTATACATTTTAATTCCTAATGCCTTTTTAATTTTAACTTAACCAATGAAGAGGACCCTATATATATACTTGTCCATACTGTTTCCCTTTTAATTGGATTAATCTATAAGCTTAGTCCAACATTTTTTCACCTGAATTTTGTAAGCTCATTAAAAATTTTTATCCCCAGTGTGGCGAAAGGCAAAGTCAAGCCAAAGCCTTCATTTCATGTTGCAACAACACTCTAAGATAAGCAGTGCCAGAGAGCTAAAAAGGGAGGTGGTCTGGGAAAACAGGACTTTCCACAGTAGGAGGCACAGGCTGTGGCAGAGTCAGAGGCTTCATGCTACGTTGGCTTTTATCCAATTTACCTGATAACCGCAAATGAGCGTTAATGGGCAAATAAATAGAAAAGTGCCAACTACGCCACTGCGACGCGTTAACTGAATGAAGCTGGCGGAGCGGAGCGAAAGAGGGATGCCCCAGCCCAACGGCGGCTTTCCCATAACCATTTGTGCGGCTTGATGCCCTGTCGCGTTTACTTTAGTGCACATACTAAACAAATTTAATGCGCCTCCCACGTTTTAGGGGTTTTTGTGGGTTAAATCATTTGGCCAGGTGGCTTTTAATTTCGGGGGCTTAGGTGCCAAAAATCTTTGATGCTGAAATTTAAAATCCATGAAAGGGATTTGGTAGGTCCAAAAAGGGCTGCCTTAAATGGAATTTATGGAATTAAACTATTTTATTTTATTTCCTTTAATATTTTTTGATAAATATTTAGTTTTCAAAGAGTTTTAACTTTAAAAACTACTTACCCCTTCCCATATCTCCATGCATTATCTAGAAGCTCTTAAAGGCAATGAAAATTTCAGCAGGCTAATTTCTTCCGGCCGTAAATGTTGGGGGATCCCCTTCGGAGTTTTGCCCTTGGACATTTTGTGAGTGGCCCAAAATCTATGGCATTTCCAATCAGCTCCGGTACTCAAACATCTCCTCCACCATCACCCCGAAACACGTTTGACAAATCTGCACTCCCTGGCAAACAATGTGCCAAATTTGAGATGGGCGGGCGGTTTAGTGGGCTGTATGGGCAGAAGGGAAAGGGGCATGGGGTCACGGTACTCGAGCCTTGCCAACATTGCGTCAACGTAACATTAATTTGTGCACGTTCCATTTGCCAGCGGGTCGCCTTTCGGTTCTGGCCTGGTCTTCTCCTTGGTTCGATGGAGCTAGGGGCATTGCAACACTTTGGCCACAAACACAACAACAAACACACCAACACGGACACCCACACTACCACAAATAGATCCTTATACACATAACGAGACACTGAGGGAAAAAGATACAAATTATAGAGAAATACGATTCATATATAAAGATTATCTTCACTTTCATATTATGTTATAAATAAGGAAAATGTTTTATATTTTCAACCATTTTTTGAACTAATAGTAAATTTAACAATGTTCAAAAATCAATCTTGTACTTACCATACGAAAACCTTTTTTATAGAAGGAAGTCAAGGATCTAGAAGTGATTTTTCAATGTGTACCCACACGAAGAGGTGGGCTAGATGCAGGTCAGCAAACGGCTAATGGAATTAGCAACAATTTAACCATTAAACACATCATGTGCATTGGCATGTTGCACATTCAGTTGGTAGATTACTCTTTTCCTCCAGCCCTTTGTCTCTCCCCCTTCCGTTTCCCCTCGTTGAGCATTGTTTTGGAGTCCCCCATTTGGTCTGGGGTTTCAGCCGGGTTCTGTTCTGGCTGGTTGACTCGGTTGCAAGAGCCCGGTTGTCTGGCTCTCGGATGCCGATGCCTATACCGATGCCTCACGCGGTTTATTGGCATTAAATCGGAGAGCTAAGTTGCCATTTTGGCTTTGCCTGCTTAATAGACTTTGGTTTGCTTTCATTGCATTTCTGCCAATGGTGTTACTGCCCTGATTCACCCTGATTTGCCCTGACAAACATGGCCGCTAATTAAATGGAAATTCTACCAAGCTTTCTCTCTCTTTTGCCATCCACGTGCAGCTTTACTAGCCATCTCGACCACTGCTTGTTCACTATTTGCCGGAAATGGTGGATAAAGAACGGCTCAGGTTAAGTATCTTCGTCTTTTATGGCAGGTACTTATTTGTCGGTAAGCCACAGCAAATATTTCTGCTGAGTTGGCACAACTTGCGGGACAAACGTTGGAGATCAAGTTTTCTAGAGAGAACTAGTTAGGAATCTAGAGAAACTTATTTAACTTATTTAAGGAAAAAATCAAATAGTAAAGATTCAAAAAATATATATAAGCCTCTTTAAAGAAATATTATATACCTTCTTTCTATATATATAAAACGCTTAAATAGAACATTTCGCTATACAGCAATATATTTCAATGTAATATTTCACCTTTCCCAAGCGAACTAGCTCCAAAAGCAGTGCCCAGCATCTCCGGGCAATTTATCCATATAAAAACCACACATGACTTTGGGCCTGATTTTATTTGTGTATTTCTGGCCGGTATGGGTGCTTGGATCATCCGCCCCGTGGGCCTGGTCAGGTAATTTGGGCAGGAAAAATGGCATCATTAGCTTAACAAATTTGTTGTATGCCCATAAATCGCCTAAAAGTAAGCAACCAGTCGAGGAAGTCGAGGAAAAGCAAACCGAATGGAAGGACCTTAAATAACCCAAGTCAAAGGCTCAGTTGGGTTCAACTCCTAATTAAAATTGAAAGTGGCCCAAAGAGTCGAGCCAAAATTTTCACTTTTCCGCGCAGTCCGTTGTCCGACATTTTCATTAGGACAGCGAATGAAAATTAAGCGAATTCTAAATGAAAATAGACAGGAACTTTAGGGCCGTTGTTGGTGCTTTTGTTGCTGTTAATTCGCTCGCTTCTCCTCCAGACGTCATAAATCATTAATATGCAAAAATTATGGCTGAAGTGGCGCCCCCGTTTAGTACATATAGCTGTACTATATTGCGCATACGCCCACTTAAGCAGCCAGCGAGCCAAAAGGACCCTCTCCTCTCGCCTATATATGTGCGGAAGATAAAAACTTAAAGAATTATAACTTTGGGGCTTTTGGGAGCCTCAGAGGCTGGCGCACAATGACCACAAAAGTAAATAACATGCCATCCACAAGCCAAGAAAGTACAAAAAAGTGAAATAGCCACAGAGCAAGACAGGAAGCGAGGAAGAGAAGTTTTAAATATAATTTCAGCTTTTGTGCTAGTGCGTCAACATGGAACATGATATGGCAGACTGAAAAAATAAGAGAAACATCTCTGTGGATTTCGAACAGTGGTGCCAAAAACAGCCGAAAAATATACGTAGGTTAGTGTTCTATCTAAAAAAGAACTTAACATTATTTAAATATAAGAAATTTATGTAAGAGATTGATTCTTAATAAGCAATATATATACGTTAATAAATTATATAAGTTATAAAGTTAACCCCTTTTCATCCTTATCAGCCATTTAATCCTTTAAAACAGCTAGCTGGCCAACAATGGTCGTAAGAGAAAACTGAGAAAAAGGCTAGCAATGGCAAATAGCTTCTACGGCCTTGTCAATATTTGTTTCGCAATCAGCAAATACGTGTGGGATGTTTCCTGCTTAGGGAGCACAGATGAAGTTTTGTGGTCCTTGGGAAGTTGTAGATAACGAAAATGCTGTTTGACTTTAAGGGAATCAGCCACAAGATATTGGAGACAAACACAAAACTGACCAAGGATAAACTTGTAACTGGTCAACCTCCAGAACTCAATTAGAGTGGAATGCGAAAGATGCCAGAACGGTCTTGATTAGCAGCTTTGCTAACATTTGTATTTTTTTTAGGTTGCAACTTGTAAGGTTAATCTAATGGCAA